GGGGGGCTGGTGGAAATTTACCATCATTTTGGATTTAGTGCTGTTTTTCTGACATTTTAAAAGTATTTTAATGCTGTTTCAATTCAGTTGTACTGTATTTACCTTTGATGTAAGCCACCCTGAGCCCCGCTCTCAGGTAAGGGTGGCCGAGAAATTGAATGTGATTAATGAATGAATTAATTAATTAATTAATAATCATGGGACAGCTGCAGCTTGACATGGTTCAGTCCCTGCCATCTCCAGCTCGAAGGTTCAGGGGGTAGGTGATGCGAAAGACCTCCACCTTAAACCCTGGAATTGCTGCTAAGGGAGGGCCGTGGCTCAGCGGTAGAGCCTCTGCTCGGCACGCAGAAGATCCCAGGTTCAATCCCCGGCTCTTCAGTTAAAAGGACCAGACAATAGGTGATCTGGAAGAAAAACCACCTCTGCCCAAGACCCTGGAGAGCCACTGCCAGTCTGAGTAGAACAACTCTGAGGTCATTTCCGCATTTGCCTTCAACAAGCTGGCATTCAGCGTACTCCCACCTCACATCCTCCAGTTATCAGTCTTAGGCATTACAGCAGAATAAATATATGCTAGCAAGAGAGGGGGGAGGGTTGGAACAACTGTACAGGGACAAGTAACACAGATCACCATGGCAGCTTGCTGACACCCGCCTACCTCACAGGGTGTCTGTTGTGGGGAAGGGAAGAGAAAGGAGATTGTAAGCCTCTCTGGGACTCTGAGTGAAGAGCAGGGTATAAATCCAATCTCCTCCTCCTCCTCCTTCTTGAAAGACTCTTTTCTTTGTAACAGCCCTCCCACCTTCTTTTTTTATTTGCATCTGACATCTTTTTAATATATGCAGATTTATATATTTTTTAACATTTTATTTATCAGTTTTCCACTTAATTACCACTTACATATAATTATCTTTATATACGTTTGAGCCTATTTTTTCCATGCATTGTTAATCCATTTGTACAGGCGTTCCCATCTTTCAAAAAATATATTGTCATCCTTCCCTTGAAGAATTAAACTTAATTTATCCATTTCTGCTATTTCCAGTAATTTAAATTCTATTTCCCCTCTTGTGGGAAGTTTTTCCTGCTTCCAGTACTTAGCTAATAATATCCTAGCAGTTGTTAAAATAAATATCAACATATACTTACCATTTTGCTTATAAACCTCCGGAATTATATTTCATAAAGCTATTTCAGGAGTTAAAACCAAATTCAGGTTCATTATATCTAATATTACCTTCTGTAAGTAAATGTAAAGGTTCCCTTGCTCGAAAGCCAGTCGAATCCGACTCTAGGGTTGTGGTGCTCATCTCCGTTTCAAAGCCGAAGAGCCAGCGCTGTCCGAAGACGTTTCCGTGGTCATGTGGCCAGCATGACTAAACACCGAGGCGCACGGAACGCTGTTACCTTTCCCTCCGAAGTGGTACCTATTTATCTACTTGCAATTTCTTGCTTTCGAACTGCTAGGTTGGCAGGAGCTGGAACTAGAGACGGGAGCTCACTCTGTCATGCGGCATCGGGGTCTCGAACTGCTGAACTACCGACCTTCCACAGCTTGAGCCACCGCAGCTCCACATTAACTTCTGTACCATCCTCCAATAGTTATAAAGTTTTCCACATCTCCACCACATATGGAAGAAAATAACAGCCCCTCCCACCTTCCGACTGGGATATGAGGACTCAGGGATCTCCATTCCCACTTGTATCTGATGAAGGGAGATATGAGTCTTGAAAGCTTATACGCCAATAGTCTTGTTGGTCTCTAAAGCGTCTACTGGACGTGATCCCAACTGTCTTTAGCACTTCCCGGCTACGTGAGTGACTGCTCTCTCCTTATCAAAGCTGCGCCTCTCCCCTTCTAACGGCTTCCTCTTCCAATGCTGACTTCCAGGTGGGAAAAACAAATCCGTGGAGCTGGAGGACGTCAAGTTCCACCAGTGTGTGCGGCTGTCGCGTTTCGACAACGACCGCACCATCTCCTTCGTCCCACCCGATGGGGATTTCGAGCTCATGTCCTATCGGCTGAACACACAGGTGATTGATTGTGGGGAGAAGGAGGCCATGCTTCTCTCTGTGGGGAGAAGAAGGCCATGCTTAGTGTGGCCTCACGTGCTTGTTCTTCCTGAAAGATCTGGAGCTGGGGGTGAGCAGTGCAACGGCCGAGTTGGCAGATGCTAGCAAATTACTCAAGATGGTGAGAACCGGGGGAGATTGTGAAGGGCTGGAGACCAAGTCCTATGAGGAAAGGCTTAAGGAGCTGGGTATGTTTAGCCTGGGGAGGAGACGGCTGAGAGGGGATACGAGAACCATCTTCAAGGACTTGAAGGGCTGTCATCTAGAGGATGGTGCGGAGTTGTTTCCTGTTGCCCCAGAAGGTCGGACCAGAACCAGCAGGTTGAAATTAAATCAAAAGAGTTTTCAGCTAAACATTAGGAAGAACTTCCTGACAGATCAGTTCCTCAGTGGAACAGGCTTCCTCGGGAGGTGGTGGGCTCTCCTTCTTTGGAGGTTTTCAAGCAGAGGCTAGATGGCCATCTGACAGCAATGGGGATTCTGTGAACTTAGGCAGATTGTGTAAAGGGAAGGCCCGAAAGGTTGCCTCAGTGCTTAGTTCTTGTGGCCCTTTATGACATGCCCAGGGAAATGCCACTTTGGGGTCAGGAAGCCATTTTTCTCCAGGCCAGTTTGGCCAGGGATCCTGGAGGGTTTTTTTGTCATCTTCTGGGTGTGGAACAGCGGTCACTGCGGGTGTGGAGGGGGAGGTATTTGTGAATCTCTTGCATTTTGCAGGGGGTTGGACTAGATGACCCTGGAGGTCTCTTTCAACTCTTTGATTCTAAGATCTCTGCAGATTGGGTGAGTGGGCGACAACTTGGCAAGAGAAGCTCAGTGCTGGTATGAGCAAGGTGATGCTCGTAGCGAGATGAATACTGTCTGATTGTTAGGGGCCCGATCCTGGGCTGCTCTGGAGTGGCTGCTTGAGGGTACAGGATTGACTGAGGGAGTGGACCTTCTAAGGCTGTATTCACAACTTCATCAGCTTACCCTTAGCCACTTCTGAAACCTATTTTTCAGTGGGGATCGCTCTTGGTACTTGCTGAAGGATCCTGCCCTACGCTACTGACCACCGCTTGTTTTTCTGTCTCTCTCCGAAGGTGAAGCCTCTCATCTGGATTGAGTCGGTCATTGAGAGGTTCTCTCACAGCCGAGTCGAGATTATGGTTAAGGTGAGTTCCTCTGACGAACGCCCTCCAATCTTGTCCAACGTCTCCACCACGTGTCACTGGTTAAGAGCACAGACTCTAATCTGGGAGAACCGGGTTTTGATTCCCCACTCCTCCACATGCAGTCGCTGTTGTGACCTTGGGTCAGTTATAAGTTCTCTCAGAGCTGTCCTTGAAAAAGAGCGTTTTCTGTCAAGAGCTCTCTCAGCCCCACCTACCTCACAGGGTGTCTGTCATGGGGAGGGGAAGGGAAAGGAGTTTGTGAGCCGCTCTGAGACACCTTCGGGTAGTGAAGGGTGAAGTATAAATCCAATCTCTTCTTCTTCCACTTTCAAAAGGCGAAGGGCCAGTTCAAGAAGCAGTCGGTGGCTAACGGTGTCGAGATAGCTGTGCCCGTCCCAAGCGACGCCGATTCTCCCAAGTTCAAAACCAGCATCGGCAATGCAAAATATCAGCCTGAGAAGAACGTTGTCATCTGGAGCATCAAGTCCTTCCCGGTGAGCCAGCCGGTCTTCCCTAAGGGGGTCCTCCTGAGTTGCTGTCTCATCACAGGAATGGTGCTGCGTGTGTGTGGGGGGGGTGTTTCCCAACCTTTTTGAGCCCGTGGGAACCTTTGGGATTGTGGCACAGAGTGGGCGCCATCACAAAATGGCTGCTGCAGGTGGGAGAGCCAATGACACAGTGGCTGGCTCTAGTGAGAAATCAGCCTAAAAGTAGCTCCTCAGCCTTTCGGGCAGAGACTGTGTTTAACAGGGTGCCTTTTAAAATGGACACGTTTAAAAACGTTTTCTGGCCTACACACAGCTTCCTTTGTCAGGCAGTGGAGACAGCTGCTGCTAAAGCAGTTGTTTCTAATCTGCGCAACCAACGAGAAGCCCCGTTGGATAAAAGTGCCACCTGACCCGCCCTTTTTCTAAAAACACTCGGAGGCCATTAAGGAAGGTGTCGGCAGGCACCATGGCGCCCACGGGGGCCCTGTTGGGGACCCCTATGCTAGAGGGCCATTCTAAGGCAGGGACCAGTAGCCCTATAGGTCTGTTGGTGCCTCTGGCGTAGGAAAACAGTTAGGCAGGGTCAGAACCAATGCTCCCTCTAAGCTGTGGGCTCTTGTGAGCAAACATTCTATTTCGTGAGCTGCTGGCGTTAAAGTTGTGAGCGAGCGATTCGACAACTGCGTAAATTAGTTTGCCCTGGAGCCATCCTTCCTGAGCCAAGACAAAAATGTGTGAGCTGGGGGCTAAAAAACTGTGAGCTAGCTCACGCTTAACTTAGCTTAGAGGGAACACTGGTCAGGACTTCCACTGAGGGTTGTACTCAGACCCCCTAGCCAGGATTTTGTGGCTTGTGGGGCAGATTTTTTTTTTCTGATGGGGCCAAAGTTCTCAGTGCAGAAAGAGAAGCCATTTAGCCAATGGAGAGCTGTCATCAGGATAGATCTCTAAATTGCAAGCTGTCAACCACTTTAGATGACAGTTCCCAGCTGCTGCAAGTTAATCACATCTGCCAGCCTAAGCAACAATTCTGATAACAAGCCGGCAGGTGGGGGCGATGACTTCTATAGTCAAGAAAACTAACAGGCAGAAAAACTCACTTAAAGGAGATCAGTTTTTTGACCCAGAGTTAGCAGGGATCCTAGAGGTCACCTACTCCAACCCTTTTGCTCAGTGTGGGAATTAGTCAGCTACAGCACCCCACTCTGCTTAAAGGAGCACGCACCCTTTAAAAATGTTTTTAAACTTGAAAAAAAGCATTTACAGGAGAAATTCTTGTGGGGCTGTGACTTTAAAAAAGGGGGCAGAGCCCCCAAAAGCTACAGGCCTGGTCGTACTATAAGAGCAAATAAATGGCTTCCCATTAGATTCCCCCCACCCACCTTGCTTCCAAAATGGAACTTAAGGTACCACTGAAGGACATTTACAAGAATGTGGGCACTGGATTTCCTTGCCATTTTCTGAGGTGTGGAAGTTCATTTCTGATCCTAGGTCTTATGCTATAACCTTCACTTGTCTCTGTTGTGATATTGATCAGAAAGTCTTCAATCCTCTCTTGCATCTGGCTCTACAGGGTGGCAAGGAATACTTGATGCGGGCTCACTTTGGACTTCCCAGCGTCGAAAACGAGGAGCTGGAGGGCCGTCCACCCATCTCAGTCCGGTTCGAGATCCCGTACTTCACAGTCTCTGGGATTCAGGTGAGCCGGATGGATCAGAAGCGGAGATATAAGAGTGGCCACGCTTTCTGTGTGGCGAAGAGGCTGTTGTATGGGTTGGGTGGAATATACGCTGGGATGGATTTGACGGCGAGGCTCCGACTCCGTGTGGCATGGGTTGAATTAAAATGTTAGGAACAGCTAGCTATTACCTGGGGAGAGGTTTTCATCAGGCTTAGAATAGTTGACATCAAATAGTGCAGAACAAGTGGGGACCCGCGATACTCGTGGGGACCCGCGATACTCAGGGGGTGAATCCTCTCCCCATCTTAATTACCCCTATGGCTGCTGTAATACTTGGGGCCACCATGGCTCTCACCCACTATCAATGGCGGCAAGCCCCGTGTGGCTCCCCAAGGCTCCCCCCCGGTTGACAACAATGGGGGCAGCAAGCCCTGCACAGCCCCCAGCCACTGGGCCTGCTGGGGGTTCTCCCCCTGACTGCGGCAATGGTGGTGAGCCCTGCACGGCCCCCAGCCACCATCTCCCCCTCGAAGCTTCTTCCCTGCCAGACAGCGGCAAGCGAGCCCCATGTGGCTCACGGCCACTGGGTTCTCTTGTGGCCACCACTGCCAAGCCCTGCCACAGCTCTCTCTTTTACTTTTGGGGAGATGTAAACTTCCCCCTAAACTTTGGGGAGATGTAAACTTGTACCCCAAGTTTGCTGGAAAATCTCTTTAGCCTCCATGTGCCCCCCATCTGCGGGTTTAGCGATCCGCAGATAGTGGGGAAAAGTATATAGATGGTGAAGAGCAGGAAATACAGTAAGAGATGAACCTCCTTTGATGAGTTGGGTTCATGTCCTGTAGAACCTTAGAGACCAATCGGAGTTCCAGGATATAAGTTTTCAAGAGTCAAAGCTCCCCTCGTCAGATGCGAGCAGAGTAGAAATGGAGATTTCCAAGCTGAGAAGATCCTACTCTGAAAATCTTGTTGGTCTCTAAGTGGCGACTGGGCTCGAATCCAGCTCTTCTAGTGCGGACCAACCCGGCTAGCCTCTGAAACTAACTCCCTTGTGAATTACTGCTGTAGGCAGGTTTGTGTAACTGTTCTTCCAAAATACAGCTACTGCTACCTGTTTCCGTCTTTTGGCACTTGTCTGGTGGACAGTTATCAGTAGAGATGTGACCTCAGTTTGTGGGTTCTGGGAGGCAAAACTTGGACTAAATCTTGCAATAATTTAAAGGGAATAATTTTTTTTTTACTTTTCACTAAACATCATATCATGTAACAAACCATAGACCTTAGTAACAGAATAGAACAGTGATCTTTTCAAGTCCAAACAATTAACTTTTCCCTCCTTCACAGCTTGTCACACCCAAAGTCCATCTCTTTCCTTCTGTTGGTGGTCCAAGAAGCCTCCAGCTGAACTCCAAGATGAAGGTAGGCTTACAGCCCCGCGTAGCATCACATCCTGGCGACGGCGGGTGCACCGCGTATCACCGTCCCCCGCGGCAGGGATCCTGTAAAGAGCTGCAGATCCCCCACCGGCATTTGGTAAGCCTACTTGATGGTCGCCGTAAATCTGAAAAGATAGATTGGGACTTGAATTGCTGTTTATGTCTCTGGCTGCAAAAACACACTAAAGACAATAAATAAACAAGATTGGGACTACGTCGCCCTGTTATGCTAACCGTAGCTTGAGACTTGTACATTTTGAAGACACTGATTGGGTTTGGAGGGAAAACTGGGGGTGGGTGGGGAATGCAATACTTTCTAATGAAACCTAGAATTATTTTACTCAAGGGTCATTTCCTAGAAAAAGAGGTGCAGGAGCTCATTAGCATAACTCATTAGCATAACTTATTTGCATATGCCACACACCCCTGACATCACTGGAAGTGTGTCAGAAGGCAACACCCACCGCTCAGGCTCCACTGGACTCTTTTGGAT